GATCTTAAATGGAACAAGGACAAATGATGATGGGCTTTACTCAACAGAGCAGAGCAATGCTCCTGTTATGCATGCTTTAACAGAACACACAGAGAACATGGAAGAACCATTCACTGATCTGGCTGTGCGTGGGCTCTACAAAGAGCCACCAAAGCCGCAGCCTCAGCACCAAACACTGCTTCAGATCCACCTTTTAATGAAATTGCTTCACGTTTGTGCCCACCTAACTTCCAAACGTAGGCTTACCCAGCTTTCTTTTCAATCAATGCTGCTTTTTGGTGAAAAAAACTGCTTATTTTTTATATCAGACTCAAATTCACTTCCATCATAATTCATCATTTTCTGATGTAATTTGACAAATGGCAAAAGGAATATTGGAGTTGATCAAGATGAGTTGGTCTCATACACTCCTACATTAACAGCACTGTTTACTCCATGTTCAATGCCAAAGATGTGCACTAATTAGTCTGCTGGCACCATGTAAGCACCCATACTTCTCTATTATTTTACCACAACTGCTCTGAAAGAAGAAGCACCTCTACTGTTTCAGACAAAGTGAAGATGTGCAGCATTAATAGCTGATTTCTTTATAGATGTGTTCTCTTACTTTTCAGCTGAGAAAATTATCCTTTTTTTCCTACTGAAAACAGTTTATTCTCACTCACTGCCAGAAGATCCAGTTAGGTTTTCTCACAGAAAGAAAGGCAGCTGGTTGGCACCTGGTTTTCATATTATGTAGCAATGATGGCAGCACCACATTCTGACAAATTCATTCATCAGTCTACCGTGCATTTATCTCTAAACAAGCAGAAAGGCCTTTTAAGATTAACAGTGGCATTGTCAGCGTCCCTTGTCACCATGGCAACAAAGAGCCCGTTGAAAATACTCTAATTTTCAACTCACATGCATGCATACACACACACACACACACAGTGAATGTCATGGGCAGTGGGGGGACTTCGGCATGCTTGCAGGAGCTGAGGCTTGAACCTCCAAACTTCTGAATGAAAAACATCCTCCCTACTTGGGCCAAAGCTGCCCCCCCAATGTAAAACCTTGGAGACTCAAGACATGTAATGTTGAAATCCAAAAAAAAAAATGCACTGTACTTGTCAGTTCAAATGTTTGAATCCTGGCTGCAGGTTCTAAACCTTTTAATGGAGAGGGAAAATCTGCATTTAGCTAAATACGTGGTTTTGGGGAGAAATATTCAAGTAAAATACCTTTCAGACCACTACATTTCACATTTGGCCTCTAAAAGAGTTTTGAGACCCGGAATTCAGCCACACACAGGAGTTATATTTAAAAATAAAAAGAGATACTTTCATAAAAGGAGTAAGGATTGGGGCATGAGCTGGGTTTCTGCAGCTAAGTACTGTTGGGAGGGGTCAGTGTGAAGAGAAAATATGGCTGAGGCAGAGACGGGGGAAAACGTTGGTTTGGATTGGAGTTCCAGGATGTTCCTTTGACAAACAACTCTCCCTCCTCTTCTGTGACACAGACAAATGTTATTATCCACAATGAATAATACTCAGTCCATATAGGCAGGGTTCAGAAACAGGCACAGGTCATCAACAGAGAGGCAGAAGCAGGTACACAGTACTTAACAGGAGGAGCAGACTAGGATCAGAAGCTGTGGTTCAAAACAGGTTTGGAGTCCAGAGGTCAGAAAAGCAGTCAAATCCTTTAAGGGCTAGGCATGGACTCTCCAGGAACGTGAACATTGTACAGGGTTTTGTAGATCTGAACAATGAATTGATGGAATATTGAGACAAAAGGCTACAGACAATCTGGCAGTAAGCAGAGATCACTGATGGTTTAAATAGAGGAAAGAACAGGTGTGCTCCGTGAGGCAATCAGGCAGAACTCAGGTGAACTAAATGATGCTGATTAGCGCAGGAAGGGCAACCAACATGACAGGCAGAATATGAGGAACATGAATCATTACACTACTTCTTTCAGAGGATTAGTGCATCCCTCATAAAACAGCATTTCATGGTGGATGTAAATCCTGCTTGTCTTCTTCCTTCTAAGGACATCAGGATGTGTTAAAACATTAAATATACAGTACTGTGCTGAAGTTTTAGGCAGATATAGAAAGAAGACATTGAACAATGAATGCTATATTTACTAAATAAAAAACTGAAGAGTGAGTGACCCCTAAACCCAAAGTCATAAAGAAGAACAACAAGACCTGGAAGTGATGATCTGGCCCCCACAGTTCAGGCTAAGTCAGTTTCCATTGATTACGTCCACGGAGCCACATTTATGGTTTACTGGCTGCAGCAGAGTATGTTCCTCCAGCATCCTGGCTCCAAAGTACGATTAGTTATCAGCATGTATGAAGTGTGCATAAAAACATGCCTACCTTGTTGTTTAATTCCCATGATAATAGCACATATTTAAATAGCATGAATACATTTATGTGTGCTGATCTGAGCCTCAGCTGGATGTTAAATTCATCCAGATTTAAACGGCATTGGATTTTATTACTTCATCATCACAGTGATAAAATAACTGAAGCAGATTTTATTCTTCTTTGGTGTGTTCTTACTGTATTTGGTTTCTAATTCCATTTTCAGTTCTTTTTAAAACACGGGAAAGATTTTTCTTTACCTTGCTGACGTACGTTTCATTTGCCGACTGCAAAACATCCTCAGAGCTGACGCTGATGGTGGCGTCACTTCCTACTCCGTTTATCCGCCTGCTCCCCCCTCTCCGATGATGCAGTCCCATGCGCGATCCAATGAAAAACACAACATAAACACACTAACAAAACCATACACAACAGTTAGAAACAGACTGGTGCACCCAAAAGACAAGATACCAGCTGGACTTAATTGTGGAGTCGTTTACGAAATCCCATGCAAACTCTGCAATAAAACATAGATAGGAGAAACCGGACGCCGACTCAACACACAAACAATAGAACATAGAAAGGAGTGCGAGAGTGAAACAAGTCGAAGACACACAAGAGCAGCAAAACAAGAAGCAGAAAGCACAATAAAGAAGTCAGCCGTAACAGATCACTGCACAAGGGAAAAGCATGTAATGGCCTGGGACAACACAAGGATCATAAACACCGAACAACAGAAATACAAAAGATGGATAAAAGAAGCTATAGAGATAAGGAGATGTGGATGTGGGACAATGAACAGAGACGATGGAGTTTACTCGTTGGATCGCGCATGGGACTGCCTCATCGGAGAGGGGGCAGCCCGCGGATAAACGGAGTAGGAAGTGACGCCACCATCAGCGTCAGCTCTGAGGATGTTTTGCAGTCGGCAAACGAAACGTACGTCAGCAAGGTAAAGAGAAACCTTTCCTGTGTTTTAAAAAGAACCGAAAATGGAATCAAATTTTATTCTGATTTTTATCACATGCAAAGATGCATCAATACAGTTTAAATAATCTGTTTTATAAGCATCAGTAATTTTAAAGTTAAATCTTCATCTTTATTTTCTTTTTTCCTTCCCATGGCAACATTATCTGTCTGCACACTTAATCCGCTGTAATTTTCAGAGGTTGTTTCAAAGTTGGAGGTTTTTTTTTACCTTCTACATCACCCTGTTTAGAGCTCACGGGTCACGTAACCTGCTGCCGTAATCTGACACTGTTATTTTTTAACTTTGACCTTGTGATGTGTGTCCCTCGTGTGTCAGCCGCACCCACAAGTGCATCTGCAATCACTCAGAACAGGCAAAAAAAATGAGAGAGAGAGAGAGAAAACAGGGATAAATTATAAATCGTGGAGAGAGAGAGAGAGAGAGAGAGAGAGAGAGAGAGAGAGAGAGAGAGAGAGAGAGGCTTTGCAGCAACAGTGAGTTTTAACATTTAATGATTTTTTTTTTGCCAGTGCAGCAGACAAGCCTGAGATGGATGTTTGCATGTTGCGTGTTAATGTCACTGGGAGATTCTATTTATATCCACTCTGCATGCTGGGTATTGGATATTTTAAGGGGGTAAAATACTAAATTATTTCTTTATAATAAAGCTCAAGACAAAAAAAAAACGTGATGGATGTCAACCCTTTGCAATTCTAAATGTTCAGGCAAAATAATCCCCCTAACTGCTGCCTTTTGTATACAGAACCACTTGATTACCTTGACAACGGCAGCCCCTTGTCCCAGTCCCTCCTTGTATCATTCATGCATTCATTTTTCTATTTTTGTCCCAGCCTGTCAGGCTGTTGTGAGCGACTGGAAACAAGTAGTTTTCTTGAAAAGTCTTGCTGAACAATCAGGTGGAGTCTGACTGAATCCGTATAAAAACAACACAAGATGATCAGAAGCGTACAGTTGTCTGCTGAGACCGACACGCTGTGAATATTCCCTCCTGACATCTGGCTCGATGTGTTAATATTTCATTAGCACAAATGGCATTGATCTTCTTGGTTACTCTGTACAGTGTGTCGTGTTGGAGAGTGAGAGAAGGATAAAGGCACAGCAAGTGATCGTGCACGGCAAAGGAGAAGGGGGAGGGAACGAGGAGAAGAGTGAGGAGCTTCTCAGTGCAAGCCTAGTGCAAAGCAGTGGAGTTGAGAAGAGGAAATAGCTCTAGTTACTCAGAAGATGTGCATATCCAGACTTTCGTTTGATGTGATGCTTCTTTGTGGGTAACTCCCAGAGACCTTGTGTTGGGGACAGGTGCTAACCAGAAGGACCTGTGGCTCAGGTGGAGTTGCTGCAGCATCGGGAGTCTGTCTGATGCAGATCAGTAACCCGCTTCTGTTAGCACTGGGTGAGAGCGCCAAGCAGAGCTGGATACAGAAAAAGGGGGAGGAGATCACTCGGATTTGCAAGCAGTCGAGTGCAGCGTGCTGCTCACAGAGAGAGAGGGAAAGCAACAGAGGAGGAGAAAGAGGAGGCCAGTTGTGTTCTGCTCTGCAGCAGGACCACGGGTCCATCTCATCGCCCTGAGGAGGTTTGGTTGAAAAGGGACGGAGGACAAGCCCCGCAGGTCATTAATGCTCTCTCTGTCTCTCTGCCGATGTTTTGCAGGAGTGGTGCCAGCCAAGAGGAGCCCGAAGCTGGTGGTGAGTCTTCAACTCTCTTATTTGTGTGCACATCATGCATGCTCCTTACTCAAAGAAGTGCTATTTTAAGAACAAAACAGCAGCACAGAGGTGTGGTGTGTATCTCTTACTCTTCTGTTCTGCATTTGAAGTGTTATAAACCTGCTGCTGCCATCAGTTCTCCATCGCTACATGTTTCCTGTCAGTTTTTTTTCCTGTTTTATTTTTGTCTCCACGTCGTCACTTTTTTGGGTTATACATCTTCTGGCTTTCTCTCCACATCTCTCCATTCCTGCCATGCTGCCTTCCTGTGACTGATTGAGTGTAGCCTGGGTAGAGGGGTGTAACTGTGACCAGCTGTTGGGGAGGAGGGTAGACAGCCACAGCTGATGGAAAATAGGAGGAGGGAGACGTTAGGATAAGGAAGAAGTGGGAAAAATGGGATGAGGGAGGGGACGACCAGTGTGGAAAGTGTCTCATTATAGGTGTTCGTGGATATGGAGGGTGTTCAGAGAGCTGGAGGCAAAGAGGGGAAACGAGGGAAGCAGACGCATCTGAGTTTTATAAGCATTTATACTTGAAATTATCAGTGAATTCAACCTGAAGTCAATGACAGGTTCAATTCCCACCATGTTTAGAGGAAAAGCAAAACTCCTCAAACGACTCATTTTTCAACAAACCACCTGACTGGATGTTGGAATTAGATTTAATTTGGGATTCACTGGGAATATGGGTGTTAACTTTCCAGCTCACGTGCTATGCCAGCCTGGCGATGGTGAGCGGTGGGGGCTGTTTGGGGTTAAATGGGACCAATAGGGCCTACCTGTCACTCCAGATTAGTGTTCATCTGTGGAAAAAGCCAGTTTCTTCCTCGGTTACCTCGGTGAAATGTCACACCGCATGTGACTTTAGCCCAAAACAAGCATTTCTCCTTCAGCTCAGAGTCTAAAAGGATGCTCACAGTAAACTCTGAGAGACCGCTGTGTCCCACCTCATTAAGCAAATCCCCTGTGATCCAATGGGAAGACAATATTGTGTGGCTGTTGTCCTCATTAAGAAGCATTGCTGGAGTTTTGACTTTTCATCTCATGCAGGATGATGAGGTAGTACCTGGGATCGCAGCACCATGACTTCTCTGACAGTTATTGTGCTACTTTATTATTCTTATTAGATTTTTAAAAATGATTCACATGTCAGTGTTGCCTCCTTTCACTGTCAGTAATCACATTTTGTGAGTAGGGCTCATTTTTAATGTGCATCTGCAAATATCAGCATGCTAATGTGGATAGTAGTAATATTAGAATGAGGAAAGCACAAGCCGTAAAATTGCATGATGGTCTTTAGTTTTTGTTTGCATTCAAATACTGCAGAGTTTGGGTGTCTTCATGTCAGATAAGTGACAGGTTTTAGAGTTATGCCCTGTGCTCAGTTTCTGATTTTCTTAAAATATTTAAATCAATCATCCCCAATTTTATCATTTTTAATTGATAAAAGAAAAATTCAACTACTCTATATTCACTTTTGCTAGATTACTCAGATTTTCTGTATATTTTGACATAATTGTTAAAAATTCTAGTCTAATTATTATTAAACTTTTTATTAATACTTTTTATTATTATTGTTACAATACAGGCTGTCTATGGGGCCTGGGGTAACAATTGAGGACGCATGTTCTCGTGTTAAAAGTAAACAACATTTATTTACATAAGTATTAACACAAAACACAGATTATCTAAACACAGACACATCAGCAGAAACTCAAAACTAGCAACAGCTAAACTCTCTCTTTAACCTAATCAATACTGAAATGCCAAAAGTCCACCGCATAATTTCCTTAACGAGTGATTTAAAGCAAAATGTAAAGTCTCCTTTACACTTAAAGGGTTAAAGTTAAACACAGAGTTTTTCTAAGCACCCACCAAAGTTGTTACACAAAACTTAATTTAACTAAACCAAACCAAATGCTGCTGAGGAGACAACAGACAGAGAGAAACTCTCTGTTCTGCTGCTCCCTGAACTGAGGGCTGGCTGATTTTTATGTTGCCAGCTGAGCTGATCATCAGAAACAGCTGGGAGAGTCTAACTGGGAGGCAATCTAGTGAGATGGGAGACAGGTGCTGCATCTCCTCTCTCTCACACACACACACACACACACACACACACACACACACACACACACACGCAGGGAAAAACCCAAATGCCCTGAGCCATAACATTATTATTATTATTATTATTATTATTATTATTATTATTATTATTATTATTATTATTATTTGTTGTTGTTGTTGTTGTTGTTTTTTTATGATAACTTTTAAGATTATATGTGTAGACTTTCCTTTAGCAGATTTGGGTTTTATTTTATTTTTTTTCACAGTTAGAAATGAGGTTTTCTCTTTGTGGACTGTTAAAAAGCAGCACATTTCTTTAATAAAAATTCACTATCTTTGTCCTGCATCCATGGAAACCGTGCTGTTTCTCCTGACTCTTTAATAGACTTTTTATGTGAGAGATATTCAGTAGAAATTTCTAAAAGAGATGACCTTGAAGGTTTTTTTCTCACTCTTTGTCCTCTATCTCCCTCCTATCATTGACACGTTCATTGTGCCCCTCTCTATCCACTCCTCTCTTCACCTTAAACATTTTCCTACCTCTGTCCTTCAAACACACTCTCTTCTTGGTTTTTCATCCAATCAGCACCAGTTGGAGAGAAAAGACAGCCAGAGCAGCTCCCAGCACAGTGTGTGCAGCCATCGCAGCACCCACACTGATTCCCCAAGCCACCCTCCTTCTAACATGCCCAGTGAGGCGGTGGTTCCCACCCCTGCTGCTCCCACCCAGCCCTTGCCAGTCTTGCCTCCCCAGGACACCACAGATGGCACTCTCACCCTCCAGAAGAAGCCAGATCCCTTTAAGATCTGGGCACAGTCCAGGAGCATGTATGAAAGTCGACGTGAGTAGATTTCTTTTTGGTTTTTCCTATTTTTTGGTGGTAGTTTTTTATTTATTTATTTATTTATTTATTTTAGGTTTTATGCATAATTTTGTTCCATTTTGTAAAAGCAAATAATTCCTCTGATCTCTTTCAGAAGATAAATGAGAATTGCATTCAAGATAAAAATTACTTGATCTCCTTAAAGTCCGAGGCTAATGTGTGCAGCATATTTCTGACTTTTACTGCCATTTTTGTGTTTGCGTCACAATTTTATCACATGTCACAACTGATCATGTGACAAAAGGTGCCTCCAGAGAGAAGTGTCCTTGAAAATGTGTGAGTGGTTGAGTGTGGTGGTGTGGTTGCACGTGGCTCTTGTGTAAACGTGTTCACGTCAACGCAGAAAGCATAAAATTGAATTGCACATTTTATTTGTGCATCAACCAGTAGAGAAAAAGTTGTGAGAACACTTTGTATTGTTGGAAAATTAAAAGTGTGACTCTGAAGAACTCAAAAGTCACAACTAGGATGGTGGATTAAAAGGGGACTTTTGAAATGTCACAAGATTACTTAAGATTAGACCAAGATGGCTACATATCCATTATTTTTCTGTATAAGATGTTTTAAGTTTAAACATGAAAGGCAGCTGGCGATGTCCATTCCCTCAACGAAAGTTCAGCCTGTAATTTAGTCATGCTATGTCCGTGCATTATTCACGGGGGAACACTATAGGTGGTCTTGATGAGAGAGTGATCCTCCAAAATAACTATTCCACTCTCCTGATATGAGTGATCTAAATCATTTAAACCTCCTGTTTTTGCTCCAGAGGTGATAAGTCAGAGGAGTACGAGGCACCATATGCTTTGAAACGCAGCTCTGTTTGAAAAGAATAAAACGATCTGCATTTTTAAGCAGCAGAGGGTTGGCGTGTGGCAGATTTGTGTTAAATAATTGTTCCCTGGCAGTTGTGTTGCAGTGTTGTTTAATGGTAACGTCAGCGAGCAGAATCTAGGACTGGTGCCAATTAAATATTAACTGGGTCTTGAGAGGGGCGCTTTAAGCTGCAGATGATGTTAGACACCCTCTGAAGGGGCTACGGCCCCCTTTTGGATTCAGCAAGGGGAAGAGAGGAGACACAATGAAACAAGGAAGCGAGGTAAACAGAATGACAACGAGGCTCAGAATCTTCCTGTTATTCGTGGTACCACATACCAGCACACACTACTTGAATTTTTAAGGAGTGTTTGTGCATTCACTGTGCACTCTCAAAAAGCACTATTTCAGTGGGACGGCGCCAAGAGAAGGCAGCTGGACAATGTTTTACCTCACATAACAGAACCAGGTGAGAGCTTTCAGAGTTTTGCCAGAAAGCAGCAGCAAGAAGATTTCCAACGAGTGAACAACAGAGCCATTTGCATTCTGACTTTTAGAATTTTTCTGGAAAATGTTGATTCTGCAGTGCATGTTTTGCACAAATCACTATTTCCCAGACTCCAGCCACATGAGGAATGTCAGCATTTAAAAGCAGTGCGGCATTTGGGTTGTTATCAGTTCCTGGCTGGCTTTACAAATCACTTGTATGTTTTGATTTCAGTTATGAAAAATGAGAATGTTTGCAACGTGCTTCAGATAAGAACCGGTCCTGGTAAAATGTCCTCATGACTGTCAAGCGAATCTATCTGACTGTGGTAGTTAACATGTGGATCATTGAATCAGTTTGAGTGTGCATCCTGGGTAGAGTGGCAGCTTCCGTTCCCATCCAGTTTCAGGCTTTCAGGGCTCGATAGCAATGAGGGTCAGAGATTCCTGTGTTCTTGTATGAGAACTGCATGAGTTTGCGTTTGGTCTCTTTCTGCCTTCATAGGGAAATTCTCAGCCCAGTAGAACAGGATTCTGGTCCAAGTGGTAGCAGAGGTCAGTGGGTTTTGGTTTCTGATCCTCCAACACCTTCTCTTGTAAACTGACGTTGCTGTGAAGGATTTAGGAACCTCGGATTAGAATTGAAATAGCTTAAAATAGGGGGGGAAATCCAGCTGCTGTCTGCTTAAGCTGTTTCTAGTAAGCTTTGATTGCTACTCTTCACAGGTCAGCCGTGGATTAATTACATGTCTAGCTGTGGCATTTTGTTTCAAACTAAGCACATTAGAATAGGAAATGAGGTGCTGGTGCTAATGGGTTAACTGCTGCCCTGCATGGCAGCCGTGCAGACAGCAGGCGGTGCAGGATAAAGTGGCCCGTGCCTTCTGTGCGCACTGGCCCCGTGGGTTGAAGGGACACTGAACTGCCTGCGTCCTCCTCCACAGTCTGCTTGCTCTGTGGCAAGATGCAAATATGTGTAAATGTAGAGTAAAGGAGATTCAGCACATGAGATAAACGTGATTCCCCGGCTTTAATATTATCTCACAGTGTTGCTGTAAACAAAGCCAGATCAAGCACAGTTTAAGGTTCCTTGTTTCAGAAGATATTGAGACTGCTTGAAACTTTGCAGATCAGTTTTTAGACTTTGTTTGAGGACAAGCTTTGATTTGAATCTTAACACCAATAAAACACACAAACACGTTACCCTGGTAGCCAGTCTGCTTCATGTGGATTTGCAGGATTGAGGGGATTGAACTTGTTGATGAAAGAAACAAGGATTTAAGCCAGTACTGAATAAAACATGCACATACATGATCGCCCTTCATGTAAATCTAATACTGAGTCTCTTGTGGATTGCAGTGCCAGATTGCCAGGAGCAGGACATTTTCCTGTGGCGGAAGGATACAGGTTTTGGGTTTCGCATACTGGGAGGAAATGAGCCTGGGGAGCCTGTGAGTATCTCTTTAAATCTCGTGATTATTTTACTATAACAGCTTAAGTGTTAAAACACCAAAATGCACAGACTCTCTTGCATACAGTGTTTTCTGGATGCTTCTTTTTTTGTTTGTTTGTTTTTTTTTGCTTCATTGTTTTTCTCCGTTTTTCTTTTCTTCTCCTTCCTCCTTTCTGTACCGTCTGCCTTGCTTCACCAGAATAACACAAAGCCCTAACACGTTACTCCCCCTCTCTGACTGGAGCTGTTGCTCTCTGGAGGATCACATAGACAGCTTGTTAAGAGAAGCAAAGGCCTTCTCCAACAAATCCTCGCTATTGTGCATCATATTTGTCCTAAAAGTTGGAGCAAGGAGGACAGTGATAGGCAGCAGTTGAGGAATAGTGTGATGAAATAAAAATGGAAGCTGGCTTTGAGTTTGTCTCACAGGAGTTGGGCTTGTGAAACAGGCCCAAAGTGATGCACAATGTGCAAATTGGTTTGGTTTGTGCACCAGGAGACCTGGGGAGACTGGGCTCAGTGAAGAGTGGTCTTCCTCTCACTGTGAGATTAGCAGTTTAACTCTCAGCTTAGGTGTATAAAACCCTTAATGCAACGTTTTGTTAAAAATGCCAGTTTATTGAGGACTGTTTAGAAATTTACAGTATTCGTAGAAAATTGTAAAAATAAAGCAACGGTGGATTCTTCCTTTTGGTTCAGACTGTGTCATTGCTTCAAACAGATGTAGTGTAATGGTTTATGGCTCTTTTATGAAAGAGGAACCATCCTACAGAATAATCTGGAATATTAATTTTTACAATTTAATAACCAAATGTTATAGAGATAAGAAGACTCAAAGGTTGTTTTCATCGATAAACTGACGATCATATCCGTGTGTCTGTGTTTCAGTTCAATGAAAAGACAAGTTTGAAATTTAAGAGTTTTAATTCTTCAATTTAAACTAATGATTTGAAATGACAATCATAGGAAAAATAATCAACATTGGCAACCTTGTTGGACAATCTTTAACAGTTGATATTTTAAGCTTGCACAAATAGGCCTTGTGTTGGATGTGCTAAGATTGAGGATGATGGAATTATGAATGCGTGCATGTATGTGTCTGAGATTGCTTCAGGGAGAGAAAAGGTGAATCTGAGTGAAAAATGATGGTTTGAATTAAACTTAGTTCTTATTAGAAAAACTGCATCAGAACGCTATCTATTGTGTTCTGCCTCACCGACCTAGGACCCTCTTTAGATCCGGACGTCACAGGAGGATGTTTCATCCATGTGACACCTTGGCTGGCAGAGAAGACCAATCAATCAATCAATCAATCAAAGCTTTATTTATAAAGCGCCTTCCGCAACCCTGTCAGGAAGCCCAAAGCGCTGAACATGGTACAGTTGTAAGTAATTATACTGAATAAATCAACAATAAAAGAAATTCAAATTACAAAATACAAAATGGAAATTACAAGATAGATGAAACATTCCGGTAAAATACAAATGTGTGAAACACAATTGGATTGAGTGGATGGATTGAGTGTACCAATGAAAACTGGAATGGATTCAACATAATAGAGGGCCATAATCAAACATGTTCTGGAAACGCCAAGCGGAGGAGGTGTGTTTTTAGGTGATTCTTAAAACGAAGGTGACGCTGACGAAGGTGTGCTGACGGTCCAGTCCAGAGTTGATCTCGGTACACGTTGATGAAGCGTTTAGCAGATGCACTTTCTCAAGTTTAAATTAACTCAGAAATCAAAGACTCTGGGACGGGTCTGCGTTAGCTGGTTGCATTTCAGCTATCCTGTCTGGCTTGACAGAAATAGCGTGGGGGGGGGGGGGGGGGGAAGCCGGCGGGGCTCCGTTCCCCGTTGGCGTTTGTTCTGCACGTCCTCTCTCTTTCGTTGTCAATCTCGTTCTCTCTAACTTACCAAAAACCACTTCTCTTCCCAAAGCAAACTTGTGCGTCAGAGCAAATGTGTTTTGGAGTTACTGTGGATGCAGACCTGTGTGAGCGAGTGTGAAGGTCATCGCTAAACATCTCCCAAAAACATTATTTAATTAAGTATTGATTCATTATAGTTCATTATGATTACCCAAAGCATAATAATCATTCATTTGATTAAAATGCATCTATAATGAGTAAGGTGATAAAATGATTATTTAGCATTAATAATGGAGAAAGTTTAAGACTCTTTATTATGACTAGATTGTGTGAGAATTCCTTCTTCTGGAGATGCAGGTGTTAGATGTTGTGGTTTCTTCCAGACTTGCTGTTGGCTCAGGTCTTAATCTGTGGGTGAAAGTTGCTGGTGACCCAGCTTTGACCCAGCCGGGCAAATACGACCTTTGGCACAGAAAAACCCATACTTCCTCACGTTACACAGACGAGTAGCTGGTCGTCTCATAGACGACTGATTGGATCAAGAGAGAGATGGACCAGTGGAACCAAGCTTCACCTAGGGCTCCGGTCTGTCTAAGTGAAGGAGGAGATGAGTCAAAGGGTAGTAACTATTGAGGATCTGGAAGATCTAAGGTTGGATAATGATCAAAATGACAAGATGCCAGATACAAGAAGGTTAAAGTGAGTTCCACCTGGCCATGCTCAGCCTTATAGGGCTTCCACACTAGCGTTGGCTCTACTCTGCCTAGACTATCATTTCAACGTGGATTTCTCTGCTCTTTTTTTGTCCTGCTCACATGCTAGGAGATGTGCTCATGACATCGCTGATATCTTTGCACCAATGTTGGTGATCACCCATATGCTCAGTCATGTCTGCATTCCTAAGGATGTGAGTAATCAACCTGGCCAGGCTGGGGCATTAGATTTATGATAAGCTCCGCCTGAGGAGAGCTGATCCTCCTCATCAAAAGCAGTCAGCCAAGGTGTTTCATGCATCATTTTTGGACGCCTTTGGGTAAACTCCCTCTGGGGGTTACTGGACACATCCCACTATGAGGAGACCCCAGAGCAGACCCAACAGTTTTATGTTACCTCTCTGGCCTGGGATTGCCTTGGGATCCCCCAGGAGGAGCTGGATATCTGGATTTTCCACCTAGATCTGTTACTTCTGTGACCCATCCTGTAAGTGGTGAAAAAATCTGGTAATTTGTGGGCTTCAGTCAGAGCTGTTTGTCTCCACACAATGTCAACTTTACAAAAGCAATCTCCGAGGCCCCAGTTGGTTTTACTGGCTTCTCCTGTTTTTCAAATGTCATCCAGAAATAGCCTAAAAATGCCACAGCAGCCTTGGTCGCACAAAGAGACAACACTTCCTGCAGTTCATCGACTCCTCATTTGCTTCCTTGCATAAGTGTAAAGCTGTTGTACGAATGTCAGTCGGTCAATACATAAGGTTGTATTTATTTGCCTTTTTCAGATATACATTGGGCACATTGTGAAGTATGGGGCCGCCGACGAAGATGGCCGCCTGCGGTCGGGTGATGAGCTCGTATGTGTGGACGGCACAGCAGTGGTGGGCAAGTCTCACCAGCTGGTGGTGCAGCTGATGCAGCAGGCTGCCAAACAGGGCCATGTCAACCTCACGGTCAGACGCAAGACTCCCGGATACGGAGGTGTTTCCTCTAAAACTTCCACATGCACTGTCACACAGATCACACTAACAAATCACTTGTTCCTTTTCTGTCTAACCAATGGACTGTCCCCCTCCTCACTTACTAGTGTCAAAAGGGGAAGGTGACGTGCCTCCATCTCCAGCCTCCTCCCACCACAGCAGCACCCAGGCCCCCAGCCTGACAGAAGGAAAGCGAACCCCTCAGGGGAGCCAGAACTCACTCAACACTGTCAGCTCTGGCAGTGGATCCACCAGCGGCATTGGCAGTGGTGGCGGAGGAGGCAGCGGGAGTGCGGTGGTGCCAGCCTCGCTGCAGCCTTACGACGTGGAGATTCAGCGAGGAGAGAATGAGGGGTTTGGGTTTGTCATCGTGTCGTCTGTTTCCAGGCCTGATGCTGGCACGACTTTTGGTAAGTGAGATGTCACATCAAAACTGAACCCTTTAAAGGTCCTCATGTGGTACATGACATTTGACCCAACCCCGGAAGGAAGTGTGCTCTCGGCCACAGAGCGAGGTCATAGACCCACTCCTCATGTGCTGAGCAGACTCCCCCAGGATCTGCAGCTTCATCACAAACCTCACCATGGGACAGTCACGCCTTATAGCAGCTCTCACCAATTCATTCATCTTGTAATAGAAGTCCACTCAGCCCCACTCATGGCTGTCTATACCATTTATGGATCAGACAGAGGCAGAATAGCATCCAGGACATTTGCTCGGGCGCTGAGGAGAAATTGCAGATATCAGCCTTGAACAAATTTGGATTGAACCTCTAAGTGATGAACATGGATGTCAGATCAAGGACCCTTATGATGATGTAATGTGATCTGTCTTGGGCAAAACACAAGAAAATATGATACTCTTATTTAAGTGCGCTGGAGAACTGCCATTGATCCCAGAGACCAGTGTAACTTAAGAACGTATTACCTGTGGCACCATTAGTAAGCAGCTTCTAGCATTTAAAGGTTTTCTTTGACTTATTTTCTTTATGGGAGAAAAGGATGGATAGTACACTGCTCTAGGATCATACAGTAGCACTCGGGGATAGGATTTTAAATCAAGATCATCCTTAAACTAAAGACTTCTCTGAGAAAAGATTTCAGAATTGTTGGATAAACAGTTTCAGCCAATGGAATCCCCCATGCTTCATTGAAACGAACCATTTTAGGGCCATCAAGGCCCATCCTCCTCTCAGTCCTCCCACCCTGACCTGGAGCGGGGGTCAGCAGATTGGGTCACTCTCTGTAATGTCCCATAAGTCATTATTTAAAAAAAGTGACAGCATGCAAGCACATTTACAATCAGGACAGGGGAAGAGTAACTGAAAGGAGATGTAATTAATATGGATGCTGCAGATGCTGCTGGATGAAAGGGGAAGCAGAGGAGGAGAGATGGTAGAAAAAAGGAAGTGAGACTTTATTTTAGGTTTTCTCTGTGAAGCTTTGAAAATCTCACCCTGATACTCAGTCTCCCCCCAAAAACACTGCAGCTTACTTATGCAAATGTGCAGCAGTCTTTAAACTGATATGTTAAACCTTTAAGCCAGATGACGTCTTCTGCTTTTTGCTGCCTTTTCCATTAGCAGTGGGCTAACTATCCATCCAAAGGTTAGGATGCATTCTCTGTGGGTAAATGGGGAGTTGATGATTTGGATAATTAATCTTTTCTTTCTTCTTGTTCTTTCCTTCTGTCATGAAATACAAATTTACCTCACCAATCATTATCAAACGCATCATCACTCCACACTCTTTCAAAATGAAAAATATGTGCAAACGAACACCAAAAAGCCGGGAATGCTTGCGTGGCCATGCCCCACAAAATAGGACGGATCATCGAAGGCAGCCCGGCGGATCGCTGTGGGAAGCTGAAAGTGGGAGACCGAATTCTGGCCGTTAACTGCTGCTCCATCACCAACAAGTCACACTCGGACATCGTCAACCTGATCAAAGAAGCTGGGAACACAGTCTCACTCAGGATCATCCCAGGTGATGGTAAGGCAGCGCTTTGGCTTCTTGCCTCGCATGGCGGCTTCATAATGCAGCGTGATGTAACTTATTCATAGTGGGAAGGAAAAGGCACTGATGCTTTTCACAAGCAGGAGCACTACTCATCAGGGTGTGAACCCTCGTGTAAAAAGGGAGACTCTGAGTGGGAGGAAAGCAAAACTACCTCTAGAAGCTTATGTGGTCATTCCACAATGCCCCATTTTTCTGTATTTGGTTTGCCTGACATGTTATAGTTTTTAAAAAAGCTTTTGAAGCCATTTTATGTCCTCACTCAGAAAGAACGGGCAGATTCCAATTTATGTTAAAGGTGTGGAACTCTGAAAAACCTTTTAATGATATTTCTGATAATAATCGGTCAGCGTGAGATTTTCATGCAGGATGAACATGAAAATAGTCTCCTACACCTGCCTCCTGCATGATCTACTGTATTGGAATGTTTACTATGTGAAGTGCTTTGAGATGACACTTGTCGTGATTTGGCGCTATATAAATAAAATTGAACTGTATAGAAAACAGACGGTGAAACTCAAGGATTTGTAAAGCCTGACAGATCTACGTCACACTGTCACTTAACATTCAAGAGAGAGCTAAGCGTATCTCTGCTGGTAGAAGCTAACTGTTAGCATTAGCAACTCCACCACATGGCAGAAGCTCTTCCAGGCTTGTGTTATTTGTGGAGATAAAACTTCCACATGGAAAGTAAGGGGTAGAATTGTGTTGCTGTTATCAGTCCAAGGCGAGATATCCAAACATCAGGGAATAATACTCCAAAAGCTGCCGGCTGAAGCTCAGCTGTGATGTGGCTCACGTCTAGTTCCTAGAAACGGTGCACCAGTGTTTTTTCCCCGTCAGGAGCAACTTACAAGGCATTCATTCCTACTAGAGACCCCTGCAGATGTAGTGGTTAATGTATTGGAAAATTGTGATTCTGGAAGTAAAAATGTCCACATGTATGCATTGTTATTGTTAGTGTTTGCACTAGACTCCACAGACCTGAAGTAAAAAGCAGATTTTTGAGTTTCAGATTTGCCATATAGTTAAATCATTTTTTTACCCTTTACAGGGTTAATGACATGTCACATACCCTCACTGGCACGCCCTCTGTGGCCAGAATACCGTATTTGCAATCAGAGTAGTGGTCCGTTCTGTTAGAAAAAATGGAGAAGACATGTGCTGGAGTCTGCTTCCAGCACGTTTCATGTTTTAGATCAGGGGTGGGGAACCTTTTTCTCATAAAGGGCTATTACATTTTTTTAATGCTTCTCTGAGGGCCATGCGATGATAAACACATACCAAATGATGCAAAAGAAAGAACAATATAAAGTCTATAACTACTGTGTTCTAAGCCTGGAAATTGCTGAATTTTTGCACATCAGGCTCACCTAATGAGATGGCTGGAACTGTTTATCTTTGGAGAGGTGTTTGATGTCCGCTAGTAGGGTTGAAGATGCTATTCCAAGCTGGTTTTCCAAGTTTGGGTCAGTCAGTTTTGAGCGGAAGCAACTCTTTGCGAGTGTCAGTTTTGAGAAGAACTGTGTACTCTGACTCAAGCTCGCAGAGGAGCTCTTTGAACTGGCGGTTGTTCAGCCCTCTGCTTTTGATGAAGTTTATGGCTGACACAAAGGTTTTCATTACGTTGTTTAGCTTCAGGGAATGTGCACAAAGACTCACTTAATGTTTGATACAGTGGCAATTAAATTACGTGCATCCAGACCCAAACGGCTCATTTCTTTTTTTAACTAAAGCAGCCAGTCCTTTCTGACCTCCAACCATTGCAGGTGCTCCATCAGTGGCGATCCTGCTCAGCTTTTTGAATGGCAGTTCAAAATTGTTCATTGCCACAACAACTTGTTGAAACAAATCTTCACCTTTAGTAGTGCCGTGCATGGCTTGCAAAGACAGCAACTCCTCCTCTGTTTCAAAATCAACCGTAATTCCACACACTAAAATTGCTAGCTGTGCCGTGTTAGTGATGTCTGTCGTCTCATCACAGGCCAAAGAAAAATACTCAAAGTTTCTTGCAGTGTCCTTGAGTGTTTTTTTAAATATCTTGAGCCATATCAGCAATCCTATCAGATACGGTTCTGATGCTTTGAAATAATTGCACCTTGTCGGGGATGAGCAGCTCCGCGGCAGCTACAAGGCACTCCTTCACAAACTCTCCTTCAGCAATTGGTTTCAGCTTCTTTGCTATTAATGCACTCACCTCGAAACTTGCATGCGTAATATTCTTTCTGTCAGTCTGTGGACGTGTGAAAGCTGCTTGTTGAAACTCCGATGAAGAGCACTTATTTTATCCAAGCGCATTTGTCCTTTTAACTACGCAAGTTTACCATGTTTTGAAGTGAAATGGCACTCGAGATTCACCTTTTTCCTTACTGCCAGCGCATCACCATAAACTAAGCACACTGGCTTGCCTTTCACTTCAACGAAAAAAAAGTCATTTGTCCATTTTTCCTGGAATATGCGGTATTCTGCGTCCACCTTCCTCTTCTTGACAGCAGCCATGATTAACCCTTAAGCCTGATTTATGCTTCTCCGTCTGCGTCAGTGCGGGGACACGCAACGCCATTATCCGTCCTTGCGTAGGTCACGCAAGTACGTACGGAGTCGAGCCCACTTTTTTAAACATCCGTCGAACGAGATGGATTACGCAAGCTTGTGATTGGTCAGGATGCCGCTGTTGTTTACAGCGCCGCCATTTCAAAGAGAGCCGAGGAAAACTAGCGGCAGACACGGAGAAGCTTGAAGAAAATCTCGTGAAAAAACTCTAAAAATATGAACGTTTAATTCTCCCGTGACTGGAGGAGTGAAAAGATGCGCAGCAAGCATTTTATTTGTGGACGGAAATGACAGGAAACGTGGGTTTAGAGGTGGGGAGCGCATGAAACGGTGGGAGAATGAGAGACAAATATGTCCATGTTAAAAGTCTCTTTTATACACAAAAAACACAATATAAACACACTATCTTGGACCGATACATGACAGGATACCACAGAACAGCGCTACGCCCTCTGTTGTCCTGCCGGGCAATTGCTTTGCAACACTCTCCAGGAGACGGAGAAGTATGAGAGCAAAACGCTTCCGTCAGTCCGTGCGTGTCTGTCCCTTGCGGAGCTGATGGAGAAGCATAAACCAGGCTTTAGTCGTCGTCTCAATCACATAATGACGTTCATCTCATCGTGCATTCACTGACGCTGAGCCTAACTCGGACATTCAATTCCATCTGTTTCATCGCTCAAAAGTAATTTTTTTCCCAACTTTCTAAAAGAAATTTAATTGATTGACATTCCCCGCCCCTGTTTAAGATCATGAACACAGCTGAATGATTTAGTGATGAACCACTCCTGTAGAAACTAATGAAGGCTGAGGAGACATTTCAGCTGTTAAAAAGACAAGCGCGCAGTGAGGAGATAGGTTTTGCTTTCAGTTCTACTGAACTGACACTAGAAGGTGCTAAAAGCTAGCAAAACTGCCAAGTGTGCCTTTAAGCTATATTATGTTATATTTTCTGACAGAACATCAGCTTAACATCCAATCATAAGGTCTGTGATCTTTGCAAATTTCTGCGGTTGCCATGGAGAATAAAGGCATGGAGGCTCCATTGATACCTTTTCTGCTCAAGGTGAAGATGCTCAGAATGGATTGAAATCAGTTGATTTTGAGCCCAAACACCCAGAGTTTTAAAACGTGTATGGTGAACACACAGTTCTTAAATTCCTTTCTGGAATAAAAGACCAGTTTTATTTGAAAATCAAGATATAAATATTACAGTGAGGTCCAATGAAGGCTACATGTATAAGAGTAACAGACACACATGTATAAAGAAAAGAGCCTGAGCTGAACGAGTCAGGTTTTTTTGTGTTAATCTGGTGAGAAAACAGAATTTTTACAAAATAAATTACCTTGTTTTTCTTTTTTCGTTTCTCTTAGAATGCAAATGAACCAAAACTAAACTTGCCACGAGTTTCTTTGCTGTTGATGTTTTAAAATTATCTTGGGGTCTTTTTTTTTTTTTACTTTTCTTTCCATGTTGTTCATGAGCAAATGATAAATGACAACATCACACACAGTTAGCATCAGGTTGACTGGAGCTGCCTGTGGCTGGTTTGGAGGGAACTCCTCTGGACAGCAGCACTTTGTTCTCCAGAGTGTTGTTTAGTCTTGTAGAAATACAGCTGCAGGCCAGTGCATTTTATAAAAAAGTATTTTGGTGTTTGACTGTTTTTGCAGAATCTTCCAATGCTTCTCTGCTGACTAATGCTGAGAAGATAGCTACCATCACCACGACACACACACCTCATGCCACAGAGTCCCGGTAGGTGGAGATCCATCCTTCTTCCTCTTGGAAACACGTTTTATTTGTTTAGCTCTTTAAACAACACGGCTGTCTGTCTTTGTTTAAAAGGAATAATTCAAAGTCAAAAGGAGCTCCTCCTCCACCTCCATCACAATCTCAAACACAGGTAAGTTCGGATATTTTTTGTTGCACAAATCTGAGTTATACAAGCATTATGGTAATGCATCTTTAGCAGATTAAAAAGGAAGACAAACAGATGGAAAGCTGGAAGTTTTGACAGGATGCAGAGCTGAACCAATATTACGGTGCTACGAGTGGGACCTGTTTAATAAACCATAACATCACAAGAACCAGCTCATAACATAACATTCAGTGTAGTTTAGCATACATTTTATATGTTGTAACAAATAAAGTAAAATCCATAATTACTAGCAAATGGATAAACAATTATTCAAAAGGATCTAAAAGTATTAACTGTGATTTTAATGAGCTAAAGAGATGCAGATCAGTTCAGGAGAAAACACCTGTGGTTAAAAACTGTTTTTTTAAAAGTCTTAAAAATGTAACCAAATGCATTTGTAGAAATAAAAGTAACTAATCTAGTAGCAATTTCCTTTTGGGATTCTTAATACCACAAATTTTACCTTTAGATATTTTAAAAGAAGTATTTTAACATTTATAAAATAAAAGCTACATGAAAAGCTGCATTTCTTAAAAAAATAAGATAAATATTGCAATAAGAAGTGTCGCCTCAAAATCTAATGAAAATTAAAAGTAATTATATTCCAATAAAAAATCGAACTTGTTAAATGTATTTCTAGTAAAAGTAAGTCAGACATAAATCTACATTTAAACAAAAACGTTTGGTAAATGGTCTGTATTTGTAAAGCACCTTCGTAGGGTTCTACAACCCCTAAAGCGCTTCACAACACAATCAGTCATCCACACATTCACACGCTGGTGAGGATGAACCACAATGTAGCCACAGCTGCCCTGGGGCAAGCGCTGGCACCACCGGTCCCTCTGACCACCACCAGCAGATAAGGCGGGTTAAGTGTCTTGCCCAAGGACACAACAGCAGTCTTCCCTGCTTGCATAAATATTAAATGAAATGACCTGTGTGCAAAATGACAGATTAATTTTACCAGTGCTGCAACAAGGCATTGTCAGATTGCACAATCCTCTGTTTCTTTGATAAATTACATCTTTTCACTGTTGAAGAAGAAAAGACTGAAGCACTTTTCAGGCTGTGTATCTGGGCTATCAGCCACAATGTGCAGTACTGACCAGCAGGGGGCAGTAACACACTGATAGATCAAAGGAGGAGGAGGAGGAGGAGGAGGAAGACTTACATGTTCACTAACATAAGTCCAAGTTATCAAGCTGAAGGTTACTTTATACCAGATATTGGAAACAACATAGATTTAAGTTTTGATTATGTTCAGTCACAAATGGACTTATTGTTTTTACAATGAAAATTGCATGTTTATTTTTTACATTTGATGCATTTGTGTTTATTCTGACTACAAATGATTCATTTACATGCTCAAACCATTTTATTATTTTATTTATGATTCACACAAAAATAGAATGTAAAAACCAAGAACTACACATTCAACTTTTCCTTAGAGACTAAAGGAAAATTATGCTCTAAAGTTCACTCAAATTAACAATAATAAACAGATTATGGTCTGAGGTTTTTAGTGACACTGGGTTAATTCATTTTTGAGAGGCTGAACTTGTGCTGGGGGGTACAGCTTTAGGGTACAGCCCTTGTGCTGCCCTGGCTTAGCATCAGTATCCTGCTTAGTGAGCTCACCTCATTAATTATTCATGCATGCCAGGGTTTTGTGCTGCCATTGACATTTGGAGTTTTTTGGGACATTTCTTGATTAGTCAGTTTCAACTCACCTGCTCTGAATAAATTAGTCATTCTTCTCTGCGGTTCCTGTGATATTTTTGTCATGTTTCCTGTTTCACAGGATGCAGAGTTCTACTCTGTGGACCTGGAGAGAGACAGTAAAGGCTTCGGCTTCAGCTTGAGAGGAGGACGGGAGTACAACATGGACCTCTATGTGTTGAGACTAGCAGAGGATGGAGCTGCTGTCAGAAATGGCAAGATGAGGGTATGAAACTCCTCTTCTCTTGGTCTTTACTGATGATGCCCTGTCACTAACCAGCCGCCCCACTCACACATCCTGTCTATTTAAGGTGGGAGATGAGATTCTGGAGATAAATGGCGAGAGCACAAAGAACATGAAGCATTCGAGGGCCATTGAGCTGATCAAGAACGGAGGTCGAAGGGCACGCCTCGTCCTGAAAAGAGGCGATGGATCTGTACCTGAATATGGTAGGTAGACATGTTGTCTGTTCTTTCTAAAGGCTGCTCTTCACCTGCTGAGTGAAACGCCACTGGGACAAAGTTAACTGATCTGATTATTTTATATTTCACAAACAGATCTGTCAAATATGCATGAAAGAATTCTTAATACAGTTTTTAAACTGTTAAAACATTTAGCTAAACATCTCATCTGCTCAAATGCTTTTATTTGAGTCAGCGTAAAGTGTAATATATTTAGACTTTTACAACGAATCCCTTCTTCTCAGCCTGTTGTCTGTTTTATTTGTTTCCTTCTCTCTGCTGCTCCTTCTTTCTCTCTGATTGTCTCTTGTCGCTGGGCTCTTCCTCCTCTCTCCAGCGATGATGGCTCCTCATCTCGCTGTTGGTACAATGAGGAATGACAAGATGGGAGAGCCCTGTTTCTACCTAATGGGCCAAAATCAGACAACGGTTTGTAGCCAAGAGTCTGTCCCTGTTCGCCCTCCCTGTCATCTTTTGCCCTCTTTAAGTTGGTCCACACGCTCCCCTGCCTCACCCTTTCCTGCATCCTTCTTTGTTTGTGTTTGTGGGCAGATGTGTTTACGTTTGAACACACGCTTCATGTCATCGTGCCTGAATTAACCCGTACTTAATCTAAGCTCTGAGTCATATACATATATCCTGCCCCTCTGCCAACATCTGAAAAGATGTTTGTGAAGAATTAAAACAATCTGAGCGCTCATCACATGCTGCTGCCATGGCGAACCTTTTACCAAATGCACATTTTTTATTTGCTTTTCTTTTTTTTTCCCTCTCCACTTAATGTTTATATTGTTTTGAATGACTTCCTAGGTGCCTGCTGTGTCATTGATAACCCCCCACCCTACACCTGCTGTTGTTGCTGAGATCACCTTGTGTTTCAACCCACAGCTGTAACACGCAGAGCAAGTTTCAGAAGTTATTGACTCCTTCCATTACAGAAATAAAAACTCACAATGTTCACCAAAATGACTTGCATCTGATCAAAATAATAATAATTTAACAGTTGTTTTGAAATGTAGGTCAACAGAAGTATGGAAAAATAACAATAAATAAACATGACAAATTTTTGGTACCTCTGGAAAAGACTGGAAATAAGGGGACAAAAGGGCGATCACAAGTGTAGTCACAGTGCCGTTTGGTATCGGTGTGTGTATCACACTGAACGTGGTTCAAGGCAAAGGCTAGAAGACCATCTGAAAGCAGCTAGGTGTTCTTTTGACCACAGGTGCATAATTTATGCAGAAACTTAAAGAGCAAGTAACTCGTAAATCTACTTTATTTGCTGATAAACTGCGTAGATGAGTGTCTAACAGTGCTGTACACATGTGTCATCGTTATTTTGGCAGTTTTGTGCAATTTATTTTAAATGTTATTTTTAGCCCAAACCCATCTTTGGGTTAGAACTCAGCTCCACATTTATTTTGCTGATGGCTAAAGAAGAAGAAGAAGTAAATATCACTTCTATAGCGCCTCTCAAGATAAAAATCACGAGGCGCTTCACAAAAACAAAAACGAAAAATATAAAAATTTGTAAAAATATAAAAAAGCACTTTGAAAATGTTTAAAAATATATTTAAAATGAGCAAGAATAAGCAATTGCGGTTTAAAAGAAAAAATGTTAAGAAAGAGAGAGAGAGAATAGGAAAGAGGGAAATCAGTGGATCCTGAGGAAGGTGGAATAGGTGGGGAGAGCAGAATAAAGAGAGAGTGGTGAAGAAGGTCACACAAAAGCCAGCTTGAACAAGTGAATCTTCAGCTGCTTTTTGAAGGAGACCACTGAGTCCACTGATCTCAGGCTCAGGGGGAGAGAGTTCCAGAGTCTGGGGGCCCCAGCAGCAAATGATCTGTCACCTTTGGTCTTTAGCCTGGTGCTGCACAACCAGTAGGCTTTGATCACTGGACCTCAGGGACCTGATGGGGGTGTAGGGACTAAGAAGATCACCAATGTAAGATGTTGCTTGTCCATGTAAGGCCCTATAGACCAGAACCAGGATCTTGAAATGCACCCTGAAGTTGACTGGCAGCCAGTGAAGCTGGAGGAGAAGCGGGGTGATGTGGGTGTATTTGGAGGACTTGGTCAGAAGCCGAGCACAGGCACTCTGAACCACCTGTAGACGGTTCAGGGAGGTTCTGCTCAGACACGTGAAAAGAGGGTTACAGTAGTCTAAGCGTGAGGAGATGAAGGTGTGGATAACTGTCTCAAGTTCAGAGCGAGACAGAATGGGACTCAGCTTAGCAATGTTCCTGAGATGGAAGAAGGAAGAGCAAACAAGAGAACTGACATGAGAATCCAGGGTGAGAGCTGGGTCAAAGGTCACGCCAAGATTCCTGACAGAGGGTTTGGTGTGAGAAGCAAGCTGACCAAGAGAGTCTCTGACTTTGGGAACCAGCTTGTCTGGGGCACAGATGAGGATCTCAGTCTTATCTTCATTCAGCTGAAGAAAGCTCCCAGCCATCCAGGTTTTGATAGAGTCTAAGCAGGTCTAAAGAGGTGCAGGATGATGCTATCTGTACAGCACTAAGTAGGGATGTCCCATTCCGATATCGATATCGGAAGTAATTCGGCCCAAAAACACTGTATCGGATTATAACGGACTGCATCAAAAATCTCCGACATAAGCAGTCCGTTAAGGTTCACGTTTTTGAAACCAATGGTTAAAACAATTGTCATTTTTTTCATACTTACTGTTGCTGGCTCTTGTTCTCCAATTGAGTATTATCACGTGATCAAGCCTTTCGTACATTCCACACTACAAAATAGGTAAAAGTATGTATGATTTGTGCTGATATCGTATCGGCGTGATATCGGTATCAGTCAGTACTGAAGGCTGCAATATTGGTATCGTATCGGAAGTGGAAAACATTGTATGGGGACATCCCTAGTACTAAGTGGTTGCACAGCACTGGACTCCAGCTGAGTCTCGGCGGTACCTCCAGCTGGCTCAGCTACACACCTGCCGATATCTAACGTCACGGCTCAGAGCGCGGTGGACAGGAAATCCTCCAGCTAAGTGAAACGTACCTCCTCGCTGTGCGTTAATCTTTTTAACACCTTAATCTAACTGCTGAAACGTCTCCTCAGCCTGTATTTGTTGCTACAGGAGCGGTTCATCACTAAATCAGACAAAGCAGCAGTGTTCATGATCTACTGTATGCAGGAAACATGCTGGAAGCAGACTCTTGTGTCAAGCATGTCCGGTAGAGACCTGGCAACCCCTCTGAAGTTGCAAGTGTGGTATTCTGACCACAGAGGGCGGAAGGGGTCTAAGAGACACATTGTTAACCCTGTAAAGGGTCATTTTAGCACATACTGGCTCAAGAAAATGATAATAAGTTTTATGGTCCAAGGCAACCTGCCTGGACATGGGTCCAGTTGCCTCTTGGGTAGGCCATAATGCTTCTAGAAAAATATCCATTGGACTAATGAGACAAAACTTATTGTGCAACAGATTTTAAATATCGTATATAATCAGTTTTTTTCTAGGCCAGTTCCGTTTATGTTATTCTGTTGAGCCACAATTCAATAGCACTTTACTATTTATATTAGCTAGTAAATTTGAATTTAAACCAATAATTACAGGTTATTTCGGTACCAATTGTGTTTTTTTACTTCTGTAAAGAAAGAGCACCAACAGTATCCACTACTGTGTCCCTTAAGTGCTTTCTGCTGTGTGTGCAATCCAGTTTAGATTTGGCTGTCTGTTTCTGGGATGACATGGAGCATTTTAAGAAAACACAACTATGCATGATTTCCATATCTGAATTGAGGTTGTTTCTTGTCAATGCAAAAGACCACATCATAGAAAAACCCATGTGTGTTGAACATACGTTTTGCATCATGTTTGTTTTGTTCAAAGATTTTGTTGTTCAGCTTGCCTGTCCCCCTTTCTTCTCTCCTGCAGACGGCAGCAGTGACGGGCACCCTCCCACACCCAGGGCACAAAACACTCCGGAAGTGAGAATGTTGCCCCATAACAGCCGATATCACACCTCATTGGAGTCCAGTTATCCACCAGACCTTCACAAAACATCACGCCTGGAGGAGGCTGCACGTGGCCGTGGTATGGAGAAGAACAGGGACAGGGCTGGGTCAGATCAGATGGAATTCCAATGCCGACAGTTTAACCCCCATCATCATTACACCTGGAATAATAATACCCACAGTCAAAGTACCCCCAGACAGCAGTCCCCCGACAACAGTAACGGCAGTAGCAACAGCAACAAGAAGAACAGAAGTCGTAAAGTCAAGAAGTCGGAATCGGAGAGCGGCATCTCTAAACTTCTAAAGACTCTGAGGAAGGACACCTCGGGCAAAAAGGCTGCAGCTGCCGAAAAACTACGAGGCAGAGAGCTCTCAAGCAGCAGTTCCACTTTGGACGGGAAGTTTCGTCGGCAGCGCCGTGGATCCCTTGACCGCTCACCAACCAGAAAGCGCGTCTCGTCTCCAGATCGTAGAAGGGCAAAATCTATGGACCGCAGAGCAGAGCGAGGGCATCGGGACCATACGCCTGAGAGAGAGCGTGATGACGGAGGGTTCCTCTCAGTCACCCCTGAACGGAAGTTCTACGAGCGGAGGCTCCTTAAGGACTCACAGATGGCTGGGCGAGTTAGTGAGGCTTCTACCCCTGAGCGCACCAACAACAGCGCAGATTCCTTGCCTCGTTCCAGGGGCCGCACGTATGATAAATCTGCAAAGAACGGCAACCTTCTGAGAGACTCTTCCTTTGAAAGGAGGGCGGAGAGACACTGCATGAACGGGACGATGGAAAGACGATACAGAACGGAGCGGGACTCTTCCCCTGACAGCAACTACAGCCGGGACGAGTTGAACTATGCAGCAACTCCTAGACCGAAGGACTACTGCAGCATGATAAAGAACAACGCTGCACACAACAATGCTACCTACAACAACACAGGCCATAAAACCAGTGCGGTAGGCCGCAGCTCAAACCAGATCCCTGAACCCAAGCGAAGGCTGTACAGAGAAAGCCCTAAAGACCTCAGCATCTAGAGCAGAGATTCCCTCACTACTCTCTCCTCTACCTGTGCAAACGATGTACAATACACTGGAATTGGATTTCTGATCATACTAACTCTTATTCTTTATTTGATCAAATTGTTTATTGATTAATTTGATTGACTAAACTACTTGTAATCCCATCCAGAGAAGAATTAAACAGCAGGAGTACAATCCTTCTATCAGTTTCTACTGGTTGTGTTGTCATTGTTCTAGTTATTTTGAACATAACAGAGGTTGTTGTACTGTAGTAAAGGTATTGTATGTGCCTGCATATGAAATCAGTGGTATTGCTTTTTTGTAAGCATTGCTAACTCTTTGTTCCCCCAGAGGTATGAAAACTGCTTCCCTTTGTGCTCATTTCTAATTAATGATTTTGTTCCAAACTTGTTTTAAATGTCTGTTTCACTTTTCAGTGACTGTGGAGCAGTAGGGAAAAAAATCCTGAAATTCGAGCAAATATCCAAATTTAAGCTCAGATGCTAAAACTAGAGTTAAATTATAAGAATTACTAATATATGAGTTACTGAATTAGCTTTTTATTTATTTGAAATTTTACATATTTTGAGTAATTCATTGAGGAAGTTTAAGCATGCTGTACCCTTAACTTGTGTTGCATCGAAGTGTGTGACGGCTCACACCTTTTGCTTGAATATCAGAGTAAAAATCAGAAAAGTGAGGTGAAAGCTGGCATTTTGTGTATCCTTTTTTGTGCTGATGCAGCACACAAATGAATGACGTACTTCTACTTACAAGGAAAACAACTGTTCTCTTGTGGTGGAAAAATAGTGGTGACATTAATTTGTTGCTCATCAAAATTTCTGTTGAATAATTTAGATTAGTTTGAATTTTGCCATAATACCAGCCGAAGCTGCCATGAAGTATGATTGTGCAGATTTGCCAAAAAAAATTATAAAAGGAAACAAATATGTAAATTATTCCTGTGCAAGATGCATGTGTAAATTAAAATGTAGTGTAACCACTTTATCTGGTAGGCCTGAGAGAGATGAAGGAACTCACCCTGTAATCCCACAGTATCCGGGGGCCTGACACACTAAGAGCCAATGTGGTTTTGGTTGTGATGGTAACGTAGTCCTGGTAGAGGAGACAACCGATCTGCCATGCTGAGCCACGCCGTCATACCACTGGAGTCTGACTGCTGCTTTTTCATGTGTTTGTGTGTTTTCTGTCCTGTTTTGTTTAAGAGCTAATACTATATTTTGGGTTAAACCACAATAAATGCATCGTTCCATCCCTGTTCTCACTACGGTACTGTAATAAAAAAGGTTAGAACTCATAAACATGTAAGAGGTCCCCCGATGTAACTATAGGAACATGTCAATGATGAAAATGTTGCCTTTTTCTTGCACAGAAGAGAAATCTATGAAGCCCCTCATCAGAGGAATGTGATATTATGTTTATATCTCTGAAATGGACCTGATGATTTATGGTAATATGTTGATTTACTCTGGATCAGGTATGTAAAGACATTTTAAAGTGAAAGACTGTATTTGGTCAATCAGAAACTGTTTGATGGTTTGAATCTCTCTATGATTAGCCTGCCTTTGTATTATAAAGCACTTGTATGCAGTCTGTGTTCTTCAAGCATTATTTCTTGCAATGTGCTCTGGACATAATGCTGTCTCTGTGTTGATAAAAGCAGTACATGTATATGGGCCAATCTTTTTATATAACTATGCATATATAAATACTACATTGTTCATAGCTTTATTTGACCCATGAAGTTTAACATAACATTAGTCAAAGTACAAGTTAGATGTGGACTTTTCCAGCTTCTTTCCTTGAGACGGATTACGATGTATATGTAGCTATCAAAAGAAGTCTGTGGATGTTATTTTTATTATCAAATAAAGTTTTCCATACAAATTCAAAAGGACTGCAGGTCTCTACACAGCCATGTGTCCCACGAGAGGTGTTTGATGGTTGGAAAAATATATAATGTAATTATTGATACATATTCACAAAATTCACAAAAGTTACTTCTGACTACTCCTAAAGACTTTATGTTTTTGGCAAACTAGTTTTGAACATTGTTCCTATGTAAGTTTTTACCTGACTGGTTTCTAATGCGGGCTCCACAGTGGTGCAGTGGTTAGCACTGTTGCCTTGCAGCAAGAAGGTCCTGGTTTCAAATCCCACCCTGGGGTCTTTCTGCATGGAGTTTACATGTTCTCCCTGTGCATGCGTGTGTACCCCAGCTCCCTCCCAACTGTCCAAAAACATGACTGTCGGGTTGATTGGCCTCTCTGTCCCTGCATGCATGGTTGTTGTCCTGTGTGTCTGTGTTACCCTGCCATGGACTGGCAACCCGTCCAGGATGCACCCCACCTGTTTGCTTGAAGACTGCTGGAGATAGGCACCAGCGCCCCACAACCCTGCGTGGATCAACGGGTAAAGAAAATGGATGGATGGTTTCCAATGCAACTGTACTAGAGCTGTATTTCACAACTTAGATCTCTGCAGATTGATTGGTAAAATCCCAAGAACCTTATTTTTATTCATCTGATTCTGGGCTGGCCAACAGGTTATTACTATGGAACGTCCTGGAATTGATTCCTGTTGAAGATATTCTGCGTGAATGTATATGTTCTTTTCACACATGGGTGAGATTCCTCCAGATAATCTAGTTTCCTCCCACTGACCAAAAGTGTGCACATTAGGTTTATTAAATATTAAAATTGCCCTGGATATAAGTGACTGCATTCATAGTTGTTTGTATTTGGACCTGATGATTACCTTTCAAGTCTTCTACAACCTGCTTCCTTTCTAATCTGAAGTTGATATTTTTTTCATGTTGGAGACCTCACTGCAACGCTACCATCTGCATCACCATGGTGCCTACTTGGTAAACTGACACATACAATGCATTTTTTGCAGATGAAATTCCAGCTTATGTCCAACAATCTATTTCAGCTAAGTCAGAAACCTACACCCTGTACTTAGATGTTTCCTAATAATTCAACAGTATCTTTGCTGTGAAATCATTCGCATGTAGCTAGAGACTTGAATGAACCCAAACAGCACCATCACCATTGATACCATATCTGTCCTTTAACTGAGCCAATCTACATCCATACCATGGGTCACCTGCTAAAGAAAATGAAAGAGAAGATAAAAGTTCTTTTCTGACACCAGTTGATTCATGCCATGGATTTCATATATGATTTCTGTGAATTTCAAAGAATTTTGATGCTAAGACTTTATTTTCAAAAGGCGGCAAAAAAATCATTATAGGTTTTGAGTGAAAAGACACATCAGATTAAAAATGTTCGTTTCATCAAAATGACTCTTTGAACCAGACACAGAGAAGAGAAAATTAGTCTAGGGAGCTACAAACCCTTCTTCCAGGAAAAAAAGGGAGCATTAAATGTATTTCCAATAGTTTAGAAAAGAAAGGAAGACGGGGAGTTGCTGCCCTCCAGGGTCTGAAAACTGGTTCTACACTTCAGCTTTTTTTTTTTTTTTTGTCTAGAAGCAAATATTCACCATATCTCTAAGGGAACTTAATATATATATGTGTATATATATACATATAGCAGAAAATATTTTATTATTGCCTTCATAGATTGTTCACTGTAGTTTTGTTGGATCCAAGGTGTCTGTAGTAATTACAGATTAGGATTAATAATTTATTTATCATTTATTTTAGAGTAATATTCTAATCCTTTTATTAGGTTTAGTTCTAAGTCCAAGGTGACCTGCTAGGATTTAGATTACATTAGCTTTGCAGGCACCACTCAGAAAGAAATTCAAAAACATTTGTAGTAATCCAAAACTGGCTAAGGACCCAACTTCACTATCATAGCAGTTAAAAAAAACGACTCAAGACATAAATGCAGGTTGAATAGATCATTCACATTTATTTGTTAGATTAAATACACTACAGTTGATTAGGTTTTCCACCCAAGTTATAATTAAAACATAAACAGGATGAATCGTTTGCAAAGTGCGTTTTATTTTACGTTGCTTTGATTACATGCCTCTACATTCAAAATTAAGCCAGTATCATTTAAGATCCAACTGTGAAGAAATAACATTTTTTCCTTTCGTCTGAGGAAAAAAATTCTCATAAATGACTTTGTTGGATACTCTGTACATACAGGAACAACGCTGTAATAGGCTGACCCTTCCTGCAACTGTCTTTATGTTGAACAAACTCGTTTGTAAAAATACAAAAAAGGAAGATGTTTCTGTAGACATGAGCCTTCAGTCGTTTCACTGGGGGGTCAGAGGTCGTCTTCTTAGATAGTGGATCGTGGAGCCTTTGCCTGGTGCTCCTTTTAAGCAGGGGACACGGAGCTGGAGGAAACAGAGGAAGCCTCGGTTTTGGAGGCAGTAGTGGAACCCTCCTCCTCTTCAAAGGGGTTCTTCCCGCAGCACAAGGTGGTGATCATGCAGTGGCGGAACTGCTTGTTCATGCAGATGTAGATGAGTGGGTTGTAGATAGAGGAGCTCTTGGCAAAGAAGGCTGGGAGTGTCATGAAGAGTGGCCCAAACTCAGATCCCTGATTTGTGAAGATGTACCAGGCCACTCCTGCATATGGGAGCCAGCAAATCAGGAAGGAGATGACCATGAGGACAACCATGCGGGTGACTTCCCTCTCAGCTCTCTGGGTGGTCTCAGACTCCTGCTGGGCAGCAGCAGCCTCCTTGACAGCGCAGAGCAGACGGCCATAGCAAAAGAACACCACAAAAAGTGGAATGCAGAAGTGGCAGATGAACATGTAGATGACAAAGGACTCATTGTTGAAACCCTCTGCACGAGTGTAGTAGTCAACTCCACATGAGCACTGCATTCCCTCAGGAATGTAACGAGACCAGCCGATGAGAGGGGGAGCAGCACAGGACAGGGCCATGATCCAGGTGAAGGCCAAACCCATAATAGCATGATTCTCACCAAAGCGGAAGTTGCTGATGGGCTTGCAGACGACCAACCACCTTTCAATAGCCAGGACAACCAGTGACCAGAGACCGATTTCACCACCAAGGGTAGCAAAGAATCCTTCCAGATTGCAGCCGAGGCGTCCAAGAACGAAGTAGCCATGCATGGACGTGTACATCGTCGTGGTGAATCCTCCGAACACCATGAAGAGGTCGGCCACCGCCAGGTTTAGAAGGATGTAGTTTAAAGGGGTTCGCAGCTTCTTGTGTTCAATAGTGACATAGAGAGTGAGGAAGTTGATGGGGAAGCCAACGAGGATGAGGAAAAACATGTAGGCGCCCAAGGCAGCATAGGCTGCCGGGTTGACAAGGTAGTACTGAGGGTATTCATAAGGACTCCGGACAATGCCGGTGGTGTTCACCATAGGGACATAAAAAAAGGGTCCCTCTGTGCCGTTCATGGTTGCGGCTTGTGGTTGCTCTCAGCCCCTTCGGTAGTCTTCCTTCTGGCTGTTGGAGATTGATGGAGATGGACCTTGCTACAAATGGTACTGATGGCCACAGTCTGGTCTTTTTAAGGGCACACCTTGGATTATCACTTTCCAAATCCGTCAGCACAAATAGATTTAGGCCACAGTTAATACCTAATCCAGTCATCACTGCAAACATAACTAATCACTCATCAAGTTATTAAGGTTACACCTGTTTGTGCCTGTCTTGGGGCTACGCAATGGATGTTTATTTTGGAGGATGATTACCAGTAGATTGAAAAAAAGAAAGTTATAAAATTTGCCCAGGTAATTTGAGTGAAATGTTTTATAAAAACCATTTTTGTGTCTCTTTTCCCTCTGAAAACAATTTCAGGTGTTCCCTGCCTCTTTACCATTAGGGCCTTTAAAACAGAAGTTGAAGGTTATTACAAATCATTAAAAACTTTATTTCTCAGACTGTTTAGCAAAACTAAATATAAGTGGGCAGATTAAATCCAGGACGTAACCTTTAATGTGAGTGGGAAAATTGGCATATTGATGAAAACTGAAACTGTCCATAGATGAGGAGAAATATTTGGTGAGAGGGTGAGTCGTATTGTCCATATGAATATTAAAATCACCAAGTAAAATTACATTCGGAGAGAGAGTGGAGAGATGGGTGAGAAGAGCAGAAAATTCATTTAAAAACTCTGAGCTGAACTTGGGGGGACGATAGATGTGGTGATGATTGTGGGGGTTGGGCCAAATAGTTGACAGGCGAGCCATTCCAGAGTGTTGAGAGGAGGCAGACATACAAGAAGGACCTTCGAAGTATGAGATGAGGAAGTGGACCGTGTAAGACCACCGCCACGGCCCGACCCACGTGGTTTGCAGGTGTAAACAAACCCGGCAGGAATACAGGCATTGAGCTGTGAGAAATCACAGGGCTGTTGCCAAGTCACGGTTAAACAAAGAATGTCTAGCTCACGGTCCTTGATGGTGTCTTGGAGGAGATGTCCTTTACCAGAGAGGGAGCAAATGTTGAAGAGACCAACATTAGCTGTGCAGTTGACACTGGCGACAGAAGCGTTAGCCGGACTAGCCAGTCGGGCTAACACGCTGGAGCCGACAGCTCGGCAGATATTCCTGGGTAGCCGCCGGTGAATCGTGGACCAGAAGGAGGGTATTCCTTTGGAGCCGTCGAGATGGAGGTTCCGCCAGGACCTTCGATGGATATACCACCGGCGAGGCTGGAAGGCGATGCCAGGGAAGAGGCACAGAGCTGGTGGTGGAGATCCGGAGTGATGAAAGCGGAGGTTGAAGAGTTCCGCCGCCGAGTACTGGAGAAGTCCACCCACGGATAGATGGATGAGCGACAAGATGATCCAGGCCAGTGTGAGCCCCAGAGAAATCCTGCTGGCCCACATTTAAGACCGATGATCTTTGCTGTAACTTTATGAATAATTTTGAAGCTTTTGCTTTTCCCTAGATGCACTGGAAAATAGTTGGAAAATTATAATTTTATAAAAAGGCAACGGTAGCCAGAATCGTCCATCCGTCCATTTTCTTTCCCCGCTTATCCTCGCAGGGTCACGGGGGGCTGGTGCTTATCTCCAGCTGTCTCCGGGCATGCATGCGGGGTACACCCTGGACAGATCATGTTTTTTGGACTGTGGGAGGAAGCTGGGGACCCAGAGAGAACCCACGCATGCACAGGGAGAACATGGAAACTCCATGCAGAGAGACCCCAGGTTGGGGTTTGAACCCAGGACCTTTTTGCTGCAAGGCAACAGCGCTAACCACTGCTCCACTGTGCAGCCTAGCCATAATCAGAAAGAATAAAAACATTATTGAAGCCTTGAATCTATTACAATTGTATCCCATAAGCTGCAGTCGTTAATGAGTGTGTGTATTATACTGAATGTGGAGCAGAGGCTACTGTGTTGCTGAGTGGTGAACCACCTTAGCTGCTGCCAAAGAGCTCAGCACTTTCCTAATGGGTGTTGTATTAAAGAGATTTGAAGCTTATGGCTGTATTACCCTCACAAGCTTGTGATGGATTTAATGTTACTGAAGGGTCACTCTCGCTCAGGGAGATGCAGCATTCCCAAGAGGACTTCCTAGGTTTTTTTTTGTTTGTTTGTTTGTTTATTTGTTTTCTTTATGTTTATTTTGTTGGTGAACTGGTTGTAAATACTTGTACATCTTTTTTTCTGAAACATTTAATTAATTAAATTTAATTAAAGGTCAGCTTCACTGACAAACCATTTTTTATGATTATTTCTTATTATAATCTGTCCCTCTGAGTTTTTCATGCAGTCATCACCAGACTTGTGAATGCATACAGTATTACGCCTTAGCGCAACAGAGGGTGGTGTCATGATCTTTATGACCATTGACCTTTAAAAAACAAAAATGTATAAAATTATTTTCATTACATGCAGGCTCAAAAGTCTGGAAAACTACTGGTTATCATTTAGCTGTGTGGAGCTATATGCACCAGAATAGTACTGAAATGTGATGGTCTCAGTCACAAATTCCCACCAGTTCAGTCTAGTCACTGCCAAAAGGCCAAAAAACCTACAAGTAGAGCTGCTCTGCTATAACTGATCACTCACTGTTGGACATTTAGCTTCTGCAAAACAAAGAGAAGTTCTTGGTTTATAACCCTTCATGTGTTCACAACGAGGTATCTGATGCAGTCACAAGGAGACATGGTTCCTGGTATCTAACTTTTACCAATACCAGTATCGGTATCTATGCATCCCTAATTCTAACATGCATTAAACACCTGATAATCCATTGCAGGTTAATCCTAGGCAGCACATCTCTGGTTGTTATGATTAAAAAAACATATTTTTATCATCTGCCCTGACATTTTAAATGTTCGAACTGAGTCATAAGAATGTTCAAAATCTGAGTAAGCATCCAGCTTTGATTCCAAGAGATTCTGTACTTACGTATTACAAGTCTTCGTCGTCTTCGTCTTCCTCCGCTTATCCGGGTCCGGGTCGCGGGGGCAGCATCCCAATTAGGGAGCTCCAGGCCGTCCTCTCCCCGGCCTTGTCCACCAGCTCCTCCGGCAGGACCCCAAGGCGTTCCCGGACCAGATTGGAGATGTAACCTCTCCAACGTGTAGTGGGTCGACCCGGGGGCCTTCTGCCGGCAGGACATGCCCGAAACACCTCCCCGGGGAGGCGTCCAGGAGGCATCCTGACCAGATGCCCAAACCACCTCAACTGGCTCCTTTCGATCCGGAGGAGCAGCGGTTCTACTCCGAGTCCCTCCCGAATGTCCGAGCTCCTCACCCTATCTCTAAGGCTGAGCCCGGCCACCCTACGGAGGAAACTCATTTCGGCCGCTTGTATCCGCGATCTCGTTCTTTCGGTCATTACCCAAAGCTCATGACCATAGGTGAGGATTGGGACGTAGATCGACCGGTAAATCGAGAGCCTGGCTTTCTGGCTCAGCTCCCTCTTCCCCACGACAGATCGGCTCAGCGTCCGCATCACTGCAGACGCCGAACCAATCCGCCTGTCGATCTCCCGATCCCTCCTACCCTCACTCGTGAACAAGACCCCGAGATACTTAAACTCCTCCACTTGAGGTAGGACCTCTCCCCCGACCCGGAGGTGGCAAGCCACCCTTTTCCGGTCGAGAACCATGGTCTCAGATTTGGAGGTGCTGATCCTCATCCCAGCCGCTTCACATTCGGCCGCGAACCTACCCAGCAAGAGCTGAAGGTCAGAGCTGGATGAAGCTAGGAGGACCACATCATCCGCAAAAAGCAGAGACGAGATTCTCCTGCCACCAAACTCGACAGACTCCACACCACGGCTGCGTCTAGAAATTCTGTCCATAAAAGTGATGAACAGAACCGGTGACAAAGGGCAGCCCTGGCGGAGTCCAACCCTCACTGGGAACAGGTCCGACTTACTACCGGCTATGCGGACCAAACTCACGCTCCTCTGGTAAAGGGACTGAATGGCCCTTAACAGAAAGCCACCCACCCCATACTCCTGGAGCGTCCCCCACAGGGTGCCCCTGGGGACACGGTCATAAGCCTTCTCCAAATCCACAAAGCACATGTGGATTGGTTGGGCAAACTCCCATGCCCCCTCCATCACCCTTGCAAGGGTATAGAGCTGGTCCACAGTTCCACGGCCAGGACGAAAACCACATTGCTCCTCCTCTATCTGAGATTCAACTATCGATCGGACCCTCCTCTCCAGTACCTTGGCGTAGACCTTTCCAGGGAGGCTGAGGAGTGTGATCCCCCTATAGTTGGAACACACCCTCAGGTCACCCTTCTTAAAGATGGGGACCACCACCCCGGTCTGCCACTCCCTAGGAACTGCCCCCGATGACCACGCAATGTTGTAGAGACGTGTCAACCATGACAGCCCTACAACATCCATAGCCTTGAGATACCCAGAACGAACCTCATCCGCCCCCGGGGCTCCGCCGCTGTGTAGTTGTTTGACTACCTCAGCAACTTCTGCCCCCGAGATCGGACAGTCCATCCCCAGGCCTCCCAGCTCTGGTTCCTCCTCGGAATGCGCATTGGTGGGATTGAGGAGCTCCTCAAAGTATTCCTTCCACCGTCCGACTATAGCCTCAGTTGACGTCAGCAGCTCCCCATCCCCACTGTAAACAGTGTGAGCGAGTTGCTGCCTTCCTCTCCTGAGGTGCCGGACAGTTTGCCAGAACCTCTTTGGAGCCGATCGATAGTCTTTCTCCATGGCCTCACCAAACTCCTCCCACGCCCGAGATTTTGCCTCGGCAACTGCCACTGCTGCACCCCGCTTAGCTATCCGGTACCTGTCTGCTGCCTCCGGAGACCCACAGACCAGCCACGCCCTGTAGGCCTCCTTCTTCAGCCTGACGGCTCCCCGAACCTCTGGTGTCCACCAGCGGGTACGGGGGTTGCCACCACGACTGGCACCGGCCACCTTACGACCACAGCTAGCAACAGCCGCCTCGACAATCGCAGAGTGGAACAAGGCCCACTCAATGTCCCCCACTGCTCTCGGGACGTGGTCAAAGCTCTGCCGGAGGTGGGAGTTGAAGACCGTCTTGACAGGTTCTTCT